GTGATAGATTATGTCCACTTGCTTGTCTGAATATTCAGTAGGTTTTTCAGGAAAAATTCAGCAATTATCATTTTCTTCACCTTCCTTTCTTCCCACTGATGGTCACCACAGGCAGTGTGGGATGGTCACCCTCATGGGGTGGCTGAGACAAGAAGCCTGGCAGTATGTACAAGGTCATACTAAGAGAAATGCCTTACACAAATGTAAGGCAGTTATTCTTTTGACTTCTAGTAAAAGTCACATGAAACCAAGTCCTTTAGTGGAGTAAATTTAAGTTTGCAATAATCCAGATCTTTGTTTTATTTAACATTCATGAAATACTTTTTGTTACATTATGAACTTTATCTGATAGAACTTTGGGGGGTTTTTTGTTTAAAAAATGTTTGTTTTACAGTTTAAATATAATAACTAAAGATATTTTACTTGGACTACTGGAGAATGCACTAATCTGAAACTAAATCCTGACACTTTCTATGAAAGGAAAAGCTTTATTTGGAAATTTTTATGGGCCTGAAAACTAAACTGTGTTACAGAAGCTGATATGCATGTGGGCAGATGGTATTTCAGTAAGCAGGCAGAATTTAATTTTTTTAATGGTTTTTATTTTAATGAATAGTCAAATATGGGTTTTGAAGCATCATTTCACTGTTTCTTATTTTTCTTTTCAGGAACAGTATGAATTCTGCTACAAAGTGGTACAAGATTTTATTGATATATTTTCTGATTATGCTAATTTCAAATGAAGATTCCTGCCTTAAAATATTTTTTAATTTAATTGTCAGTATATTTTGTAAAAATTATGTTAATTTATTTCATAGTTGACATTAATGCCCTTCCTAATTTCTTTGTATATATTTTGTCATGCTTTAAAGGCCACCTGCTATAAAGTTATTAAATCTTAAATATCTTTTTTTAAAAATTGGAATAATATGTTAAGGTCAAATAATATCCCACAAAATATATATTTCTGCTAATATCAGTAAATACCTTCATTCTTCATTAGATTCATATCATGTAATTTCACACATTGTGCATCTCTAAATGTTGGAATTCTTAATATGCCAAGTGTGCTTATGCAAGACCCTAAACACAAAGGCCATTGTCAAGACAGTTGAGGACTCAGAAATCAGTTGAATAGTTAGAATCCAAGTGCTGATCTTACAACCCTGAGCAACAAGCATTATTTCTGAAAGCAATGCACTAAGGACTTTTGCAAAATCCTCAGCCTCAGCCACATGATTTATCTTTCCATTGTAAAGGTCTAAGACTTTCCAACCTGAATCTAGGCCCAAAACACAGCAGTGTGGTCAGTGGCTGTGGGGCAGTGTTCAAGAGGCTACGTGTGAGCCATGTTTGTGGACGACATGGCCTTGGGTATAGCAAAGTCAGCCATGGGGGCTACACTCCCAAAGCACCACTTATGGTCCATCTGTCTGTCCAACCCAGAGCATTCTCCTTTTCCCTCCTAGGCTTGGCAGCTGCCTGTGCTGGCCTTGAGCTAGGCCTGTAGGCTCAGTGCAGAATCCTCCCGTCCAAACATATAGTGTCTTATGCATGCACAGTCGAGGAGCACACATTTGGGTAGACACCCGAGGATGATCGCAAACACACTGTAAATTTTCTGAGAAGCATTTTGGTATTTAAAAGTTTCTTGTAAAAAGCTAAGATTGTTTGTAAGAAAAGAAATCTTTAAAAAAATCTAGATTTGTACAGTTTTTAAACATCCCACTCCTCAATGTTTAATAAAAAACCAAGACAGAGAAATCCTTAATCTAAAGTCTTATTTTTGAATGGAAATAGTGCTGAGACCTTTGGCACTAGGTAATCATAGTGATCCTGCTGCCGATGGGATTGGCTGAGGGGCAGAGGAGAAGGCGGGGGAATGAGTGTCCAGACCTCTAACTCGGCTATGATGTTCCCATGGCCATCAGGCACCTAGCAGAAGAGCACGGTGTTAACGGCAGATGTCTGGTCTGACCTGCTGAAAGCACTGAACATGTGCAGTTATGGTACTTTTTTTTTTTTTTTTTTTTTTTGCTTTTAAAAGAGGTATGAAATTATAGTGGCCTTATTTGGCATTTTCACTGAGAACCCAGGGTGCCCGCCTGCTGCACTGTTTATCCCCTGTTGGTTTACAGTAGATGCAGGTGTGACTGGGTCAGTCATTGTCCTCCACAGGCTCATAGGTAACCAAGCTCCTCTCCCTCCCCACGGCTCAGAGCCCCCCAGGACCACGGTAGCTGCCCTTCTGCAAGGAGGAAAGCCTGCTCCCTCACCACCGCCACCGCCACCACACTGCACCAGGCCGCAAGCTGTCTGCACCCGGTCCTCTGTGCAGCAGCCAGGCACTGGGGGAAGACGGGAAAGGAAGGAGCTCTCTGTAACTTGCCAATTGCTACTTTTGTTTCCATTGTTAACATCCCAAGCCCTGAGCCTTTCTTTGACTAAAGGAGAAAAAGAGGGCCATGTACTTTCATTCAGCACCTGGCAGGGGCACTGTGGAGCTGGTGATTTGTTATAGAGTTTAACGTCAAAGCCAAGGGCCAGGAATTCCGTCCCCATTTAGGAGCAGGCAGTCAGAATTCTTGAAGCCCTTTTATGGTCTACCTGGCAACTCTTGTATCAAGAAGTGCCTTAAGGTAGATGTACAGGGAAAGTGTCCTCAGGAAAGTGCCCTGTTTATGTTTATCCTGCCCCCACCCCCATCCCTGGGGACCATCCCAGGGATTACCCCAGGTGTCCCCTTTTGGGTTCTGCCTGTTCCCAAACTTATCCCGTTCCAGAAACAACCAGAAGCCACCCTCCTGTGGATGTAGGGTCCCTTCCCAGTCTGGGCAGACTTGCCTTCATAGGGGCTGGTCCCTACAGCCTTGCAACTTCCCCCAAGGCCAAGTTCAGACCCTCTCCCTGGGCAGCTGTGTGGAGAGGGAGTACAGCTGGGAGCCCTGGCATCTAATCTGTGCACTTGGCACGTTCATCTCTTCTTCCCTCAGTCAAAGAAAGTCCAGTGTACAGAACACAACAGCCCAGGGCTGGCCACCACAGTGCCCCTCCGCCTCTCTCTGCTGCATGCATTGCGTTCAAATGCCAAATAGAGATCAGAAGCTTCCCATTCTGATCGGAATGCTCCATGGTCACTATGTGACTTAATTTACTCTCTCGATGTGCTAGACAGATGAAGAATGCATACTGGTGTTTTCAAAGGTATTTTTATGTGTTTTTAAAAACTTTTTAAAATGAGCCTGATACCTGTGTTTCAGCATTTGGAGACATACCCATGTTATTTTTTTAAATGTATGATAACTGATACATTTTCGTTTATTTAACTAAGTTGTGCATAATTTATGTGCAGTCTTCATATGTATGTATGACAATTCCAACTATCATATTTTCTTTTATTAGATTTATGATTTGATCTTGCCCTCAGTATAATGCCAGTGAATGTTGCTGAATTCTTTGTGTATGCAAATTGCAAGATCTAAAACATTCAGATGCGAGGATAAACCATTACTTTGACTACCAGCCTCTGTCTCTTTCTTCACATTTCTTAATTTTATTTCTGTGCCTTAAGTCCTCATAGACAAGACATGCATTAGGGGCTGGGTGTAGCTCAGTGGTGGGGCACTTGCATAGCATACATGAGGATCCAGGTCAATTCCCAGTGCCGCGCACACGTGCACACCAAGTGCCCCACATCAGGAAGTGGGAACTAATTTACATACAATGATTTTAAAACTTTAACGTTTAGCTCTGACCCAGCACAGCCCCTAAAGGTGAGTGAGTGGGCACTGTGGCCAGAGGCTGCCGGCTCTCAGCTACCTGCAACGGTGTGTGACAGAGAGGATTTTAAAGGCTCAGGTCAACCAAGGACACAGCACCCAGCACTGCTCCTCTCAAGGGCCTTGTGTCTGGTACTGGGCACAGCCCCACTCCTCTGTGGCCGCACAACTGCCCCTGCCCTGTGGAGCTTTCCAGACGCCCTTCCCAGCCCCATTCTGCAGCCTCCTTTGAGAATAACCTATCACCATCACAGCTTCTCTTGGCAGCCAACGTAGAATTGACCACGAGGGGTCCAGCCAGCCGCTCCAGGCTCCTGCCTTCATTTAGCACCTGTAGAATGTGCACCTGGCTCCACACCAGACACAGGGTGACAAAAGTGGATGGGACAGGCACCACCCTTCATGGGCACATCCCACCGTGTGGCTCCATATCCAGTCTGCTGCCACCCTCACACCTGGCAAGGGCAGATAGGTGGTTGGACAGGGTGCAGACACCTATCTGGGGGACAGTGTGCTATTTTCTGATTTAGAAAACAGAAAGGGAACAGAATACAAGGTAGAAATAGGAAGATATATGCAAGTTGTCTACAGGTCTAAAATTGAGATATCTGGGCTTAAAACAAGATTCAGGAAACGTGTGCTCACAAGAAAGAGAGGGAATAATGTGTGAAGGAATTTCATGCTCCCTCCTAGATGGATTCTCCTCTAAGGGAGTTTGTATTACCTCTTGTGCCAGGTGATGTTAGGCAGGTGCACTCAGGAAAAAAGTCTGACATGGGAGCAGAACCCAGGAAGGATGTAGTTTGGAATGGAGTGGCACACAAGCTGATGGCCCCAAAATGCTGTGGCAGAGACTGTCTCAGACAAGAGCAACCCTGGGCAGACTCAGATTCAGTGGAAAAGCAAACCCCTGATCATTCCCTAACAGGACCCCATGACTCCAAAGACAGGATCGCCAACCACCCCCCATTGGCTCCATGACCCTAAAGGGCAAGGACACCAAACATGACCAACAGCCTAATTAATGTCGGCCCAGAATGCTCCCTATGGTAGACTCTTGTAAATTGCACTGGTCTAATCACTCGGGCATTGCTGATTCACTGATGACTGCTTAGTGCTGGGTTCCCAAGAAGTTCTTACCTTTCAAACTATATGCAGGACACAGACTCTCACATGACCAAAGAGGACACACTATGACACAAGCCACAAAGAAGCCAAAACTGACATCAGGATCAGGGCTTTATTCTGCAATATGGAGCAAACATGCTTTGTCCACCTGCTCCAGACATGAATCGTTACCACTCAGGAACTGGCCGGCAATGCCCCTTGTGGACCCCTTGCAGGGTTATAAAGACAAACCAGAGCCTGAAAATTCTTTCTTCTCTTAAACACACCCATATTATTATTTACACAATTCATTTTTATACTGGTATCAAAAATTATACTAAAAATTTAACACTAAACTAACTTTATTATATATTTTCCCTCTTAAATTTACTAGCTAAATATCTTCCCTGTGCCGGTGACTTCTGCTCCTTAGTTTCTTGGTGTCCACTGTGTCCTTAACCTGTATAAAGAAAATAAAACAGTTCTTAAGTACTTTAAAATAATGATTTTTGTAATGAACCCTGCTCTAAAAAATATGCAAATTATTATTAGAATTTGTGCAGGTCCTTAGTTCAAAAAAATTCATTTTGAGGTTAGAGATTTGTTTTCAGATAAATCACCTTAAAAGTAGTTTCTTTCCTAAACTTTTTATTATTAAACTTAAAATATCATTTAGAAAACATATATTCAACCTGGATTAAAAATCTGAATCTCCTAAACCAAAAGCAAACCACCCCAGGGGACAATCTCTGGACGGAGTGTGACCTGAGCGGTCCTGCAGGGAGTCTCCTCCAGAAGGGCGGGGAGATGGAGCAGATCAACTCTAAAGGCACAAAGATGACTACAGCTGCTCAGACAGAACCTCAGCCCTGCGGTCTGCATGCTGCTGAACACAGACCCCTCCCCAAACCCACCAGGAAGAGCAAGTGTGATGTAGACACTCCTGAGAAGCAGCACTACGACAAAATCACACAGTAGTGAAACAAGCCTAGAATTCAAGACACAAAGCTTGGTGTGAGTGAAAGAAAGATCTAGATGTACTCATTTGTCGAGTTCTAGAACCTGTAGTCACAAGGCAGGAAGCACTAAGGGCCCAGCACCATGATAGCAGAAGGTGGGTACATGGTGGTTGAGTCCCGCTCTACCAGCAAATAGGTAGGGATGGACCCCATCACGTGTCTTAGATGTCCACAGGCCACCTCACCCACTTGTAGCTGTTCCTTCAGGACTCTAGGGTGAAAGGGACACTAAACAAGACCCCAGGTGAATGCAGGTCAGAGTTTTGACCACTACTCCAGCTTACAACAAATGAAATTTCTGCCTCACCAGGTCACACAACCCTTCTCAGACCAGTGTGTTCACACATCCATGCTGAGCTGTGGCCACAGCCCTGGTCTCCAGAGTCCCCAACTGTCCCCTCCTGGTGGTCCTCCTCAGCCTCAACATTACTCACCACATGAGACCATCTTTGCTTCTCTCATCAATGCCACGACGTGTCCCCCCCACCCCACCCCCAGTCAACTTTCCACCAGCCCTTGGTTCCTGACTGTTTCCCTTAGGGGGGAAGGAACACAGAAAACGTGACCAAGCTGGGAACTTGTACCTGGAGAAACCTACTTCTTACAGAAGCAGTCTGGGCCTCTGGACAGCCAGAGCTGGAGCCCATGGTGGGCACCGGGTGAGAAACCCTGCAGAAGCCCATCGGTGAGTTGGGAGTCTTCATGGCCGCTGGTGGATGACAAGGAAGAGGCCAGAGTGTCCCTGACAGAACAGCCAGGCCTGGCTCTCCCTTGGGCCAGGCTGCTGTGGGGTTAGGATCATCCCAGGAAGAAGAGCGGTGGCTTTCACTCCTCAGCTCCACTCCAGAGCGTGTACGTGTTTGCAGCCCGACCTTTCGGGTAAAATTGGCGCCAAGGGCCACTGTTAAGCTCCTGGGGCTACTGAGGCCTGCAGGACCATGCCTTGCCACCATCAGGTGGCTTCTGCTTCCGGCCAGGGCCTGGCACAGCTTCTGACTTACATCCTCTTCCTGGACATTACTCTATCCTGAGCCTCTCCTCCTCCCTCTCTGGAACCTTCTATCAATACCCCCACTAGGGCTTCCTGCCACCACCAGAGGCAGGAGTCTTCCTACCCAGCTCACTGATGGTCTTGGGGCATCTGGGAGTCTGACTGTATCATGCTTGGTGGGATCAGCTCAAGCTTCCTGGCTTGTCCAAGGTGTGCCAGTCGGACACCTGCACCTGACATATCAAGGTGGCCACTGCTACCTTCTGTCACTGACTGATCTCAGGATAGGCCAGTGTTAGGTCCAGATTGTGTGTGCTGAGAGCAACTCTGAGGCCACTCACACACACACACACACACACACACACACACACCCCTCCTGTCCACCCTGCCCTTTTTCGTGTCTATTCATTTTACTTTTGGGCAGAGGGTTGGGGGAAGGTCTCCCAGGCTGGCCTGGAGCTCTCAATCCTCCTGCCTCAGCCTCCACAGCAGCTGGGACCACAGGCCTCCAGCTCAATCAAGGATTCTCCAGAAGAACACTCATGAGTTTAATGATGCACTGTGGGTTATTCGAATTAGAAGTGGCTCCAGCAGGTAGGTCAGATACTGTCCTAACCCTCCTGGGAGGGTTTCATGGACTTCTTTTCCTGGGGAAGGGGAATGTCACACCCACTCCCCTGCATGGAACTTAACACAGTGCTAGTTGCCTTCTGGACCCCCCAGGCTTTGTTTATTCAGTGTTTCTAAACAAGGGTCCAGACAGGACCAGCTTTCCTCAGCAAGTTTTGCAGAACCCAGGATAGACTGAAGACATTCCATACCATCTTAGTGAGAGCTATGTCACAAGCAGTCAGACAGTGGGATGACCTGGTACATTCCCAGCCCATCCTGAATGAAGCCTTCCATGACCTGCATTCACTATTGGAAGTGGAATTCCCAAAGAAAATACAACTCAGGACAAAATGTGTGACCTAGATTAGTACTTCTAAAGTTTTAATGGTCAGCTGATAACATGACGTTATGTATGTGCTTCTCTTTGGCCTTTGCAACACTGCATGAACACACCCATTCTCTGCGTGTATGTATATAATTAGTTACCTTTAGGTTTTCTGCACATCTCTTGGCACCTCGAGTGACTCTCTGCTCAGATTCACTCTCCAGACTAGGCTGCATGCCTGGTTTTCTGGACCTCAGACACCTGAAGTCTGAATTTGCAGCTGCTCCTTTCTCTTCCTGGATCTTCATGGGGACTGCCACACTTCTCTCCGTCACTTCCTCCTCTGCTGTGTGAGACTGGGAAATCTGATTCCGAATTCCAGCTCTCAAGCACGCTCTCTTTCCCCTCACTTTGGCCCTGGACTCAGCTTTCTCGTCTCCATCACCTGGGCCCTGCAGCCCCACCTCCTGGGAGGGTTCCATGGGATTCTTCCCCTGTCTCTTTATTTTCATCTTTTCTGCTGATACAGTGATCTCTGGTCTTGGCTCTTCTCCTTCAGTTGTATTCTGGTGTCTGGTTCGCAGCAAAATTCCCTAAAGAAATGAAAAACCGTAAAACAAAATTTTGAAACTTAGTAAAACAAATCTTAAAATTTAACAGAAAATTTTTCAAAAGGAAATTGGCATAAAAAAATAAGTCATTTGCATATTTCTCATTTTCTAATTTCTTTTTTAAAAATATTTTTTAGTTGTCAATGGACATTTATTCTTTATTTATTTATATGCAGTGCTGAAAATCGAACCCAGTGGCTCACACATGCTAGGTAAGCTGAGCCACAACCCCCGCCCCTCAATTCCCAATTTCTAAGACACGAGTTATCTAGGATATTCAAGCTAATGCTCTGCAACTTTGTTCCTATAGAAATGATCCCTACTGATAAATTACAAATTAGAAATTCAGAATAAACTTCAATCACAATGCCTAATATAACGTGCCACATTTAAATGCTACTGCTTACATCACAGAGTTGGCAAGTGAACTGCTGTTTCTTAATGGTTACACTAAAGCACAGGGCAATTCAGCATTCCTAGGGGATGCTGCGTGGCAATCTTACAGTTCCTCTTCTCAAGGGTACATATGCAGTACAATATTCTCCTCATTGTTAAAGTACTGTCACACACTCTCCTTGAACCCTGCCCTGACCTTGCAGGTATTTTAAATATGGAATGGAATTATCCACCTGCTTTATCATCAATTTCTCAAACTGAATATGAAACACCATTCAGGTTAAGTCATCATTTTGATTGGTACTTTTCAAACTCAGAATTAGCCTGTTCCCTCCATGTATCCCCCTACAATAGTTACTGATGGTGTTTGGTAGACACCCCTGTGGTAGAGATATCTGCCCACTACTACACAAGAAGGAGCTGGCCCCAGACGACCCGGGGAGTACTTAACACTGCCATCACCTTATCCGCAGGCGCCGAGTCTTCCACTTTGAGTTTCCTCTTTCCAGCTTCCCTCCTGGAGTTGTGATCTTCCGCAGGTTCAATTCTGTTGACTAAAATTTTTAGATCCTTATTGATTATCAAGGGCTCAGGAGATCTGCCTCTCTCCCTGGGAGCGGCCCTCTTTTTCCCGTGGACTGCCTTGGCCTGCACAGTATCCTGCAGCCCAGTCTCTGAGCACGGCGCCCCGACTCCTGAGAGAAGTCCATCTGTTCCAGATTTACCCGTGGGCAGGGACATGTTGCTTCTGCTCTGTGGTGCTGTCGGGTGTCCTTTGCCCTCTTGGTCTTCCACTGGCTTTCCTTTAGGGGCCCTAAGGACTCTCGAGCTTGTAGGCAGAGGCTTGGCTCTTTCAGCTGTTCGCTCTGGAGTGCTCTTCCGACTGTGAGCATCATGTTGCGGTCCCTCAGTGGGACCTGGTGCTGGGATCGGTTCTTTGGAGCCAGCCAGGTCCTCCAGGGACTGGTCCTCAGGTGCCCCTCGCAGCCGCCTGATGCCAGTTGCTCTCGCTGCTGGGGCCCGGGCCTGCTGTGCAGACCCCTCAGAAGCTCTGCTGCCATGGTCCTCACCTCCTGGGGCCGTGCGCGTGTGCCTGGTGGCCCGTGATGTCCGCGCTGGCTTCCTCACTGCCCGGGGCTCCTCTTTCACCTCTGCTGTCCGGAGCCGTGTCCTGGGCCGTCCCTTTGTGCTTGCTGGTGTGTCCCCTGGTTCTGACTGTGGAGATCTACAGGGCGTTTCTGTGGTCTTCTCGTCCCTTGTGGGTTCCTCAGAGGGGCCTGGGGCTTGGATCAGTTCTTTGGAGCCAGCCAGGTCTTCCAGGGCCTGGGCCTGGCCCTCAGCTGCCCCTCGCAGCCGCCTGATGACAGTTGCTCTTGCTGCTGGGGCCCGGGCCTGCTGTGCAGACCCCTCAGAAGCTCTGCTGCCTTGGTCCTCACCTCCTGGGGCCGTGCGCGTGTGCCTGGTGGCCCGTGATGTCCGCGCTGGCTTCCTCACTGCCCGGGGCTCCTCTTTCACCTCTGCTGTCCGGAGCCGTGTCCTGGGCCGTCCCTTTGTGCTTGCTGGTGTGTGCCCTGGTTCTGACTGTGGAGATCTGCAGGGCGTTTCTGTGGTCTTCTCGTCCCTTGTGGGTTCCTCAGACGGGGCTGGGGCTTGGATCAGTTCTTTGGAGCCAGCCAGGTCTTCCAGGGCCTGGGCCTGGCCCTCAGCTGTCCCTCGCAGCCGCTTGATGCCAATTGCTCTTACTGCTGGGGTCCGGGCTTGCTGTGCAGACCCCTCAGAAGCTCTGTTGCCTTGGTCCTCAACTCCTGGGGCCGTGCGCGTGTGCCTGGTGGCCCGTGATGTCCGCGCTGGATTCCTCAGTGCCAGGGGCTCCTCTTTCACCTCTGCTGTCCGGAGCCGTGTCCTGGGGCGTCCCTTTGTGCTTGCTGGTGTGTGCCCTGGTTCTGGCTGTGGAGATCTACAGGGCGTTTCTGTGGTCTTCTCGTCCCTTGTGGGTTCCTCAGAGGGGCCTGGGGCTGGGATTGGATCTTTGGAGCCAGCCAGGTCCTCCGGGGGCTGGGCTTCTCCCTCAGCTGACCCTCGGCGCCTCTTGCTGCCCCTGGTACCTGCAGCAGGATCCAGTTTCCTCTTTACAGGTTCTTTGAGCACTGTGATATTTTTATTATCACCTTTGGGATCTGGGTGTGTGTGCACGAGTCCCCCTGAGGTCCCTGCTACCTCTCCCTGCACTGAGACCTCCTCTGTCACAGGTGCTTTCCTGAGCCCTGCCCGGGGCTGTCTCTTTGGGGGTGCTGGGGTTGCCACGGGCTCTGCTTCTGGGGATTCACAGGGTATTTTCGTGGTTTTTCCTTCACCTGCCAATCCCTCAGTGGGACCTGGTGCTGGGATCGGTTCTTTGGAGCCAGCCAGGTCCTCCAGGGGCTGGTCCTCAGGTGCCCCTCGCAGCCGCCTGATGCCAATTGCTCTCGCTGCTGGGGCCCGGGCCTGCTGTGCAGACCTCTCAGAAGCTCTGCTGCCTTGGTCCTCACCTCCTGGGGCCGTGCGCGTGTGCCTGGTGGCCCGTGATGTCTGCGCTGGCTTCCTCAGTGCCCGGGGCTCCTCTTTCACCTCTGCTGTCCGGAGCCGTGTCCTGGGCCGTCCCTTTGTGCTTGCTGGTGTGTCCCCTGGTTCTGGCTGTGGAGATCTG